GCAACATTATTATCTTGAATGGTATTCCTGTCAGAAGCTAGCGACATTTTATAAGTGGAATTTTAAGAAACGGTAGTCTTTTGTCTGACGTTTTGCAGAAAAGACTGCCGTAGCTCACAGCAGCTATTCTTCAAGACTTCCACAACTCATAATCATGACCACAGTTCCTACTTTGTCTTTTCGCTTCGTTTTCATGTTGCTTTCTCTTGACCTGTCGCTTACTTTTTAGTATTGGTACTCGAAACAACAAAGAAACGAGAAAGACAAAAAAACAAAAAAAGAAATTTAAGAAAATACCTATATTTCTGAAAATAAATGCAGAGAAAGTTCTACTGGTGATAATCTTTAATAAATATTTTTCAAATTTTTAATCATTTTTTTAATTTGTTTTACCTGAAATCGAATAAGATTTTATACTTTTTTGGTCATTACAATCTTCTGGTCAATTACAAAAAAAATTGATATTTACAAGAAAAGATATAAATGTGGAGTGTGAAGAGTACAATACTGTATCCATTGCCTAATTTTTAATTGGGTTTAAAGTAAGTATAGAAATTGTGGGTAAGGCAGTATAATAACTTTGCTTAAAAACTGCTCAAAAACGAAAATAGATTTTCTAAACGATGTAAATAAAAGCTTAAATTCTCATCTGGTCTGTTTCGAACATATTTTGGACATTTCCAAATCCTGTTTGGTTGTTTGACAAGAACTGCAATGACAGTTCTTTTTTATTCACTTAATGGCTTATTATTATATACCAAATATTATTGTGATATACCTAATATTATAATATAATACAATTATTATTATTATTATTATTATTATTATTATTATTATTGGTTTATTATGTACGTAATATTTCTCATAAAGTTTTTACGATGTGATGAAGATTTTATCACTGTTTAGACAAATCAAAAAGTAAATGCTGAGATAAACTGCTAACAGTCGTTATCTTTTCCTTATAAGACTATTTAGAAATCTAAGTGAACTGAATTAGGCTCTTCATTCTTGGTTTCTGCATTGAGTCAAATCTACGGTACAGCAACTGTTTGTAGAGAGTGTGTTTCACCATTTTAATTATAGTAATGCTGTACAGTACATCATTTTAAACTGATAAAGACTTATTGTCTTTATGATGGTTTCTTAGTGACTTTTTCTTTTGTAAACTGTAGGCAATCTTACAGGCATTGCAAAAGATTATTATGAAGCTTTCAGTAGTTTTTATAACTCTGTGAAGTTTTATAAGTTGCTCAAGAGTAAAAAAGCTAATTAAAATCGTCAAGATTTACAGAAAATATAGCAATATCTACTGAACTTTAGCACTCAAAATAAGAATTGGGTTATTTAATGTCTGTTTTTTGTTTTGTCTTTTTCTGTGAATGACGGTAATCACACTTTTCATTTATGAGTTTTGAAATCATTGATTTTCACTTGAAACTTTCCAAATTAAACGATAAAAGTTTTTTTTGGTTACAATAATTAATACTTTTTTGCGTTTTTAAAAAGTGTGTCGCTTTTGAATTTTACTTTTTAGTTTTTCTTGTTTTATAAAAACATTGTAACAGGGTTGTTATCTAACATGTGCAAAGAAAACCAATGTCAATTCCACTGTATAAAATGGTTTCATCTGTGTTGATACGTAAGTGTCTTTCTATAAGATTGCTTGCTACTTTTTTGGTATATTTTGGTGTATTTTGGCTGAAAAACTTCCACAGCACCTCAATAATCATCATGTCATTTCTCAAATTTGTCATAGATTTATGAGTTAACCTTTTTGTGTTTCTCAACTGCTAAATGCTACAGAGAGCTTGTCTAGGCTTTTGTGAACTAAAGCAAGTATTTATGATATAGTTGAATTTTACTAAAACATTTGACAAAACTTATATTTTTGCCAAAGCGTCTTTTCCTGAAATTATTTTAATCTTAAAAGCTATTGCTACACTCTTTTTGCTTTGAGCTAAATAAAAAAAACTCATTTTTTTGAAATTTTAGACAGTTTGAATTAGATAGAGCTTTTTAGCTCTCACCTTAAATTTCCTTTTTCACAGTTCTTAATAGACAGTGCTTAGCCACTTTCTTAAAATGTGTTCATTGTCGACTTTTCTAAGGTTATTTTCAGCAACAAAATGTGCAATTTTTTAACACCACAAAATTACTTATCTCAGTAATCAATAAAGATATCTGTCGTTGTAGGCATAATATATGAGGACCTGACTGGAATTAACAACTTAGAACTAACTTAAAATGAATTATTTTGAAAATTAATGACAAAAGCTCTGGTTTAGACATTATGATTGACAAAGCTTTCATCTACAGCTCGTGTTAAAGACTTGAAATTCTTGCTGATAATAAATTAAGTCTTATTTTGCATGGCTAGTTTGTTGTCTATAAAATCTGAACAAAAATTAGTTTGATCTTTTGAGCTGTTGAAACTGCAGGCATTAAGACTCTGTTAGAATCTTGAAAGATATCATGCATTACCTATAAAAACTTGTTTCTAGAAGCTTTTTAATTACTTCTGTAAAAGAACGTCTGTTTGAATCAACAAAATATTTTAACTATTACGTTTACTCAGTTTTCTT